ACACACACACAAACACACACACAAACAGCGAAGGGCTGTAGAGTTTCAACTCAAGTGGTAATTTGAATAAATTCAGTGTGGTCAAAAGGTGCAATAAGCTTGTCACTGCAGGCTGCCACTTTGGAACCACTTTTATTTTATTTAAAATCAGCAATTAACCTAAAAAAACCCCTAAAGTTTAATTTTAGAGTGCAGAATTTTTATACAGTATTAATTATTTTTAAATGAAACCTGAAAAAAATACCCAGCACAATCACTCATCATAAATCATAAAAACAAGGAATCAGAATTATCTAATCCTACGGACAGTTATGTTTGACATTACTCTAATAGTGGGTTGAAAAAAATACTCAATTTAAAGTAAATATTTTCCAGATAATATTTTAATGATTTAATTTTCAAAAAAAATTTTTTTATTGAAAATAAAAAAACATTTAATTTTAGAAACATGTTGTCTTTGTAATACCACACCTAGTATTTTATCACACAGAAGGGGTCTTTATAAATAAATAAATAATACATAAATATCACCACCTTTATATTTTATCAAACAGTCCTGCACAGGAAGTCATCATATTTGATCCTAGTTCTTGGCATCATAAAGTTTGAAATCCCTGAATTAAGTGACTTTGCTACAACAAAAATCTGTTGTGGATATGAACCTTTAGCATCTCATTATCATACAAGCAACCAGTCAGTAATTAATTACACTGATTTAAGTCTAAATGAGTGAAAACCCATTCTACTTTCCCAACCCTGACAACATTCTAAAAAAAAAAAAAACACACACACACACACACACACACACACACTCAGACATCAATGTACACACATACACCCCACACAAACAGACAATAAATAGAAACATTAGCATACATTAACAGACTCATGACTAATGTTAGCTGAGAGACTCGTGTCTAATAGCAGAGAGACATCTCACACTAGAGAAGTAAAAACTAACATTTGATCAACAGAGTGACGCAACATGATCGGATTTCAAAGTCAACCCACATCAAACTCCTGTGGTAGCACAGTGAGCTCACAAAATGAACCGAACTCCCAAGTTATATGCCAAAAACTGTGCATAATTCAAAAACCTCCGAGTTCAAGAACATCCAAATCTGAAAGACGTCGCTCAATGGATCAAACAACGGGTACGTCCCTTTAAAATATTTAACACGCAAAAAGGGCCGTGACGTCGATTTGAAGGTTAGGTTTGCCTTTCATCTCGCCACATACTGCGATCTACATCCTTAACCTTGTGATTTCTTATTTTGACTTGGAAAAGAAAGCATTCTTTAAATATGGATCATGCTTGGTGCCTTCTTTTACCCATCAGCCCATGCTGAGACAATGTAAGATGGCAAACAACTGAATCATTGAATGCAGTTGGAATCTCTCACCCTGAGGTCTCCGTTGGCCAGATGTGCGGCAGGATAGGAGGCATAGATGGGCTCTTTGCGATAGATTTTAATGATACTGCGGTCCTGTATGTCCCTCACGTCCTCCAGCTCGTAGAAAACATTCCTCGCTTCGTCTTTGATCAAGATGGCCGTGTTTGGGGACTTCAGCATTCCCGCTGTCAGCTTCTGAGGGAACATGTGCACGATGAGTGCGTGCAAGGTCTCCAAACTGTTGAGCTCGTGAGTGATATGAACACGTCTGGTCTCATCTCCAAACTGCAGGAAAAGGACACCTGAGGAGAGAGAAGGACAGAAGTAAAGAAGAAAGTCAGCAAAGACCACCATGATGAAGATGGAAGTGGTGAAGCATACACTCCTAAATGTAAGATTTGTGTATCTGAATGGCATATAAAATTTCCATCCATTTGGATTACGCAGTTTTATTATAAACTAACAAACTTAATGTGATGTATATTTATCAGTCATACATAAATCAAACAGGTAATATTTCTGTAATAATGAACTGAATGTGTTTTAAATACACAAAAAACTGTAAAAAACTTTATATATTCATCATCAATAAATCCAGTTTGTTTCAGGGTCATACATTTTGGGTATGTATATGTTCATACTTTTTAACTGAATTAATTCAATTGCTTTCACAATGAACAGATTTATGCTGATTCTAAGCAATCTGAATGAATGCACTTTGAAGGAAAAAATGATTTAAATAAAATTAAATAGATGAAAATTGCTGATGATAAACTGTGCCATTATTGAGCGCAGAAATCGTACCTGTTTTATTTATGTATGACTGACAAATATAAAGTGTGACATCACATTAGGTTTATGTTAAAATGGATGTAAATTTTGTACGCAATTCAATTATATAAATCATAAATTTGAGTGTCTGTCGAGAGAGTGACAGACATATTTTAGGAGGGATGTCAGTGACAGCAAGTCTCTCGTTCAGGGCTGTGTAACTCCTCCTGTAGACTTTTTGTCATCAGTTTTTGTCAGTTTATCTCAGTGCACTTCACCTAACGGGGCAGCAGGCGATCCTAAACTTCCTGCTGATGGGACAATAATCTCTCTGTGGGGAACAGCTCCAACCGAATCACTTTCAGCAAATATTGTGCGCTTGCTGCTAACATGCACTCAGCTATAAAAGTTCAACAACACTGTATCACCACTAAGAGACACTTCGCACCATGGAAACCAAAGCTAAAAAACAAACAGTTGAAGGTCAGTTCATCTGAATGAATTGTACTGCTGTAATTAAAGCACTGCAATTAACTATCAACAAGTAGAAAACATTTCACAGTATCTAATTGCAGGACAGCGAAATGTCATCTTCTGCCGAAAGCAAACCAGAACTGTGAGGCACATGCGCAAAGGACAAAGATTTTTTTTTTTATACCATTCAAACAAAGTGATTTAACAGAATGAATCAGACTTTCCATCACTGCATATGAAAAACAGGAGAATGTGTTTAATTATTGTGTCATCTCACTCGACTGTAAAGCTGCATGCACAATACAATGTGACACTAAAAATAGTGATGTAGCACCTTGTCACATTACTATTAAAATATAGCACAGATATTTCCTGAGATTAATTTGATGATGTTTAATCATTGCAATCTATTCTTGTACTTTGAGTTATTTATAAGGAAATGTTTATCATAATGAATATTTAATTGTCTATCAAACATCCGAGTAATTTTCTGCATAACCTTTGGGCTGATGCTTACATTTTAACAAAGCATTTTGATTTTGAATTGCGCCCTGAAATTGTTTTGAAATAGTTTCTCAAGAGGCTTAGAGGCTCGGCTGTTAAATTTAAATTGGTTATACAGTAACAGTTCAGAAGAGTTTCATAAACAATAATTTCATTTGAAAGTTACAGAAAGTCGATTGGATGAATAAGAGGCACTAGTGGAGTTGTTTCATTTTCTATTATTTATGGGCTTTGTAGGCCATTATATGCCTTGACAGAAGAGAAGTATGTGGAAAATGATGTACACTACCATTCAAAAGTTTGGGGTCTCACCAAGGCTGCAAGGCTGATTATTGAGAAATTCTGTTTACAAATTACAATTTAACAGTTATTTACAGTTACAATTTAAAATAACTGTTTTGCATTTAAATACATTTTAAAATGCAATTTATTCCTGTGATGCGAAGCTGAATTTTTGCGCGTTCATATGCGCGAGTCGGCATATATTAAACACTTTTAAAACTACGCAGCCTCAGCATGATTATGATCACTATTTTGTTTTACTAAGAGTTTCATATTGAATCTATTAGACTGTGGCTGTCAAATCCGGCTTTACCGAGCTCAATTGCTCTTACCCGTGCAGATATAAACATAACGCTATTGGCTAATTTAAAAAGGCTGCTTGACTGCTTGATATGTCCCGCCTTGTCTTCCTGTTTCAGTTGAAATTACGTCACCACATAGAATAACGCTGCAGGCACTTCAGGGATTCTTTGATGAATAGAAAGTTCAAAAGAACAGCATTTATTTCAAAATCTTTTGTAACGTAATTAATGTTTTTACTGTCACTTTTGATCAATTTATATGTATACACATCTTTGCTAAATAAAAGTATTAATTTGTTTTCAAAAATAAAAGCTGTAGGTATGACTCAAATCTGCGTAACCATTGGAGCACCTGTGAGTTGTGATCATGAATGCTACTGCTACACCACAGCACTGGCTCTAGTAAAGTTGCTAACTTATTCTTGTGTTTATGTGGGCATAAGCGTATTAGTCTTTTGAGTGTCAGGTAAAGAGAGTAATTTACTGAGAGCAGTAGACTGATACTCAGATGAGGCCAGTGTGTATATGTTACCTGGAGAGCGTAGTTTATTCTGGCTTGCAGAGCGGGAGAGTGGGAGGCTCTGACGGAAACGGTTCATGCGGTTGAAGCCCAGCGGCATGTCGGCCTCAGACATGGTCTCCAGAGACTCAGCAGATGCGAAGGACAGTTTAGACGCCTGGTCTGCCAAACCCGACTGAGTGGACTGGGAGTGACGTGGACTACGGCTCTAAATGACACAGAGAGAGAGAGTGAGATTTCCAGCATTTTAAATGGCATGATGTAAAAGGCAGACATTACTTACTCACAAGGAGAAACCAAG